TGCCCATGGTAGATGCTGGCTGCTGAATGCCTACCTTAGGAGCCTTTTCCTGCCGAGTCTGGATCGACCTTAAGAATCCTCCTCGCCAGGGTAATTAGGGTAGTTCTTCCAGCCAGCGTGTCTCCAACCCTTACTCCCACTCCTCACCAAGGTGGCCATGCATTCAGTGTGCTGGCCCTGCTGGGTTCGCACCTATACCACCCTGCCTGCTATGTTGGTTCCTACTGAATGTCAGTGGGCTGCAGGATGCTGTGCTCAAACGTAGGTCATCAGCTCAGGGATGAGCACCTAACCAAAGCTAGGAGCATCAGATGCTCAGTCCAGGAATCTGGACTTGGAGACCGTAGTTACTTGGTAAGGGATGCTTGGAATGGGAAAGCCTGGACAGCCAGGCTTGGGTGATGTTTTTCCACCATGAATGTGTCCGGGCAGAGAATGTTGGCCTGTCAGATAGGTTGCACTCAGGGGCATCATAAACTGTTCCATTGACAGTGGCCTCGATGCAGAAGGAGCTGTTCTTCCTCACGTAACAACCAATCCCGAGGCAGGTGGCTGGTGGCTGGGGGGAGTAGCTCAGTGGCCCTACTAAGGACCTAGCTCTTCTATTCTCCATGTTTTTAAGACGGCAAGGTGACTTCCCACAGTCTTAAGATGTGGATGCTGCTCCAAACATAACTTTTTGGGTTCTGAGCAGGAGAATGAACAGGGCTAGCCCTGTGTGTCCCTTTTATCAGAAAAGCAACAACTTTCAGAGGTCAAAAGGATCCCTAGATTTGTTTTTATCTTCTGGCAAGAACCCTGCCAGTGGCCATCTTAACTTCAAAGGCTGGAAGAGTGATGATTTATCTTTCCCAGCTCTCCAGTGGAGGGTGGCCAAGGAGAAGGGGTCCAGCCACACAGTAGACCTGCCTGGAAGCCCGAAGGGGTGCAGAGACAGATGCCTGGAATGAATCCGCTCCTGTGCTGCCAAGTCTTGGTTCGAGTACCTGTGTGGCTGGGTATACTTCCACGCCTGAGTTCTACAAGGTGTCCCCAGAGGAGGGCCCTCCCTCTTTTCACATGGCTTTTGTGGATGTCTGTTTCTGGTAATCGCAGAACTCTTAAGTTGCTTTTTCTACTGTGAACAAGCTCTTCCACATTCTCCAACTCTATACTCTCCACCGCCCCACCTGAATTAACACCAGAGCTCTCACCTTGACACAACTTACCTTGAAGTCCTTATCCGAGCAGGCTGCTCCTTTGCCTGCTTTCCTGGACGTGTGGGTTGGGAAGACTCAGCTATGTTTTGCCCTTCTCAGACTATTCTTCCTTACTCAGTCACCCTGAAGTCTACCCTTGATCATCACCTTCTTGTTTAACCACCCCTGGGCACCTTACTCTTCCCCCTTGGCCTGTTTCTGGTCTTTTCCTATCCCAACCCACCCATTATAATCTTGCTTATCCAAGGCCTAGAGCACAAGCCCCTCCCTCCAAGAATCCTTCTCTGGTCATGCCCATCTGATGGAACCTGTTCTTCCTCCAGCCCCCAGGGCATGCTGGGCTCTTCTGTGGCAGTGTTTTATAATGGCCATTACCTTTCTTATCTTCCCTCCCAGATTATCACACCCATGCAGGTTGGCTCGCCTTATTTCACCTTTGTTTTGTCACACTTGGCACCTGGCAGGCTTTCAGGAGAGCTCTGTGGAAGGAACTGACCAGCACAGAATTGGGAAAAACGGCCTGGACTAGAGATAGGGATTGCTTTCAGTTGCAGCTGCCAGGCGCGCTGTTGGCTGCTGGCCCAGGACCCTGTGCCTCTGCTTCCATGCTGGCAGAGCCTGACTTTGTTGAGATCTATGCCTCCATGTGGGTCAGTGTTTCGATGGAAGACAGCCTCATCCCCAATCCCAGGCTGGGGGTCGGTCCTGGATGGTCTAACCTGGTGATTCTCAACCAAGGGCTATTTTGTCTCTCAGGGGACACTTGGCAATGTCTAGAGACATCTTTGATTATTACTAGGTGGGATGCTACTGGTATCTAGTGGATGTAGGCCAGGGATGCTGCTAAACATCATTGCCCAGGATGGGACTCCTTTCACCCCCAAATAATTTTCTAGCCCCAAATGTCCACAGTGCTGAGAAACCTGATATGATCAATCATGGTGGTCCTATTCCTCTGTCAGTAACTGGTTTAGGCATGATGAAAAAGCAAAGGTAAACTGGTTGGCTGCAGGGCTGGAGGGTGGAGAGGAAGAACTGAGAACCGAAATAAAAGACAACAAGCAAAGTGGACTTCTCCAGGACTTGAAAATTGCGCCATGCAATACAAATGTTCTAAGCTCAGACCATGTGTGCTTCATAAGACCACACTGACCTCCTAGGAACTCTGAATGGACTTATGTGTTCCAGAGATAAGACCACAGGCTCCTCCAGTGACTCTCCAAGTTTACACATTCTGACTAATCCCTGCCAAGACTACCTAATTCCAGCCCCTAAGCCCGAGGAGGACCCTCCCATAAATCCCCCTTTTGAGGAGACTTCTGGATTCTCTGCTGCATTCCTTTGCTGCAGCAAGTTTAATAAACTCAATATGATTATTGTTTTTCTTATGGACGTGTTCCTAGCTGTTTTTGGTTAGTGGGCTTTGACACTAGGCATGGAACTCCAATGCAATGGACTCAGTGCTACAACTGGGGCATGTTGAAGTGCCTTGGAAACAAAGAGGAAGATGTTCTGCTTGGGAAATGGGGGGGGAGTGAGGTGAAGTGGAGGTGAAGGAAAGTGTATCACAGGAAGAAGGAATACTATGGACAAAGGCAGGGAGGCACGGAATGAGAAATGGCAAGGAATCCAGAGTATCTGCAACGGGGGTTGTTGGGTAGGAGGGTTGTCCAGGCAGGAAGGTAGGAGCCAGTTCATACAGCACTTTGTTGAAATGGACTCTGATCTAATAGTTGTACGGCTGTATTCAGTGGCACAAAATAAAGTAAAATGCTGCAGAGGTTTGAGCTATTATCTGGAATCTCTGCAGAACTGAATTTGCATACACTTTCCCCTTCCCTCAAGTTGGTTCTTTAGTTCTTTGGATGAATATGGCACATTCATGGAATTCTAGAATTCTAGTGCCATCTACCCTTGAAAAACATAATTGCATGTTTGTATCACTGGAAGATTATCATTGCCTCCAAGGGCAACAAGGAAATTGTGTCTTAACACTGCATTTTGAACATGACTTTTCCAGAGTTGATTCCTAGTGTGGATGGTAACAGGCTCTCTTTTCCTTTGCCTGGAAATCCCTCTCCCTGTCTCTTCCCCCCAATTCTATTAATCTTTCAATCTGTTCACCTGTCAGATGATCTCACAGACCAGTTTTTCCCCTTTGAAGCGTTTACTACATTTACATTTTACATTTATTTTTTATGATAACCTGGTTAAAACCATCTATTCTATTAGTCTAATTTCAACAAGGGAAGAATCTTGTCTGTGGTTTGTCAACCATCATCTTCTGGCACCTGGAAACAGACCAGGCTCATGCCATATTGTTGAGGGATAATGGATGCATGCTTCGTGCTTTCTTACCTTTGCTTATTGCTTAATGATAATTCCTATTTATACTCTGCCTTTACCTAAAGGTAACTCTTTCATAAACTTTATCAAATGTCTGCTGTAACCTTCACAGAAAAAATTTGATACTCAACATCTGGCCTTCAGCAAAGAGAAACATTTTCTAGCCTGTTTTCCCCCAACAGATTGGTTTGGGGAAGGTGATATGGTAACCGGATATCTCAGCCTTGAAATGTATTTTAGTTTTTTTTTCTCTCTTCTCCTAAAAATGTAGCCTTGAAACAGGCCCTAGAAGTTTCTTTTCTCTTTTTCCCCGCCAGACACTCCGATGCAGAGACCCTCTCAAACCATTCTCTTAAAGTAGCCCCCATTACCAACAATGTTAGATTGCTTGGGTTTACTGTCCAGCATGCACCCTCATTCCTTAAATTCGTAAGACTTTGCTAACCCTCCCTGAAATAGAATGAGTCATAAACCCATTGGCGGTGGTTACACGGTTAGTGAAATAGGTTGCCATTCATCCCTGTGATCAATAAAGTTAGAAATGTAATTATATTAACCATGTAACTGTAACCACTACACTTTTGTTTTCTTGTACCCGTTAATTAATGGTGTATGTTCCACTTTCTAGTAAGCTCCGCTAGTAGAGTCACTGATAAACTGAAATTCCAGGCTCTTGGTAATAGGTACTAAAAATAAGTTGGTAGTGAATGCTATAATTGATGAAACTAGAGTTTAACAAAATGGTTTGTAAATCACGTCGTTTGATGTTAATCAATGGCAGACTTCAGTGCCTGTGCTTATAAATATAGACTATGCAACCTAAAGAGCTGAGCTGGCCTTGGCATCAATACTGGTTTCTCTCCCCGAATTCCGAAATAAACTTCCTTCCTCCCAATTCCTGGCCTCTCCGGTTTTCCTGGCGAGCAACCACGGACCCCAACAAGCCCCTGGAGCCGTGCATCCCCGCTCAACCAGGTGTCCGTGACAGGTTCCAGAGTTATTCTCGAAACAAGCTCCCGCCGAGATGACTTCAGGGCGGCTAAGGTGAGAGGGCGCCGCGGCGCCACACTAGGCGACAGCCGCAGACTCTCTGGGGCGTGGGTGGCCATCTCCGCGCAGTCAGCTCGCCACACACCTGCTCTCGTGCAGGCGGCTTCTCAGGCGCGAGCGGATCAGCGAGTCGCTTTCCAGCACGACGCTCGCGTGGGGTCACCGCGTGTCAGGAGTGTGCGCGCGTTATCTGTCACGCCGCTTGTGGGAACGGGGCCTTTGTCACTGAATAAGTGGCGACTGTCGTCTCACCGTCAGGGCCGGGGTGAGACGGAGGTGGCACAAGCACAGCTGCCAGGCGCGTCACCGTCGGCTCAAATCCGCCGAGAACCTAGCGGCGACGCTCGCAGGGTCCCGCCCTCGCGGCCGGAAGGGGCGGGGCCGGCCCGCGGATTTGGCTCGTGGGCTCTACGTCACTTCTGGGCGCCGGGGCGGGGCCCGAACCCGCGCGCCTGCGTTGGGGAGGTGGCCGTGGTGCAGGCTGAGCCCGCACCATGAGCGAGGCGGACGGGCTGCGGCAGCGCCGGCCCCTGCGGCCGCAGGTGGTCACAGACAATGGCCAGGCCCCGGAGGCCAAGGACGGCAGGTAGGCCGGGGCCGCGGGAGCGGGCGACCCTCCCTGACAGCGGCGACGGCAGGAACCGTGACGGGTGGACGGGGTGCCAGGCGTCGCCCAGGCCTGTCGTCTGACCCCGGACACAGCTCGCTTCACCGCGGAGGACACGGGCTCCGGCCAGGCGGGGCCCCCGCCAGGTCCTTTGGGCTTCTGCGCGCCCTGCGCCTGGCGTGGCGCTCTCCCGGCTCCAGGGTCCTGGGACGCCTCACGTCTCCCGCTCCCTGCTCCCGCCCCCCACTGTCCCCTCAGTCTTCGGAGCGTTTTCCCTCCCTCCGCCACCCCCACCCCCCGCGCTGTCCTTCTGGCTCACCTGAGCCCCGGGGACAGCCATCTGGCCACGGCCCTGCGACTCCCCCTCCCCTGCTCGCGCCTGCGTGAAGGAAGGTCCTGGAGATGCCGGGCCCGCTTCGTGGCCCCGCGAAGCTGACTCTTCTGCGTCTGTCCCCACGTCGCGTGCCCAGCCCCGCCGCGGTTTTCGGAGAGTGGAGGACAGAAGGGACATTGTAGTAAATTCTTGTGACAGTTCAGCGTGACAGGCTTTTCCTGACAAGCCAGGAGAAGCGTAGGAAACTGTAGTTGACACCTTAATAAAGCTCAAGTTTTTTGTCCTTTGCTTCCTTTCCCTCTTTGAGAATTTAAGTGTGCTACATTTTGTTGGCTAAAAACTGAAGCGTGAGCCGGGTGGTGGCTCACGACTGTCATCCCAGCACTTTGAGAGGCGGAAACAAGAGGATTCCCTGAGCCCAGGGGTTCGAGACCAACCTGGGCAACATGGCAAGATCTGTCTCTATAATAAAATCCAAAATATTAGCGGGCCTGGTACGGGTGCCTGTAGTTCCAGCTACTCGGGGTGATAAGGTGGAAGGATTGCCTGAGCCCAGCAGGCCTAGGCTGCGGTGGCTGTAAGCCTGCAACTACACTCCAGCCACAGTGAGACTCTGACTCAAAAAAAAAAAAAAAAAATCCAAAAAGCAAAACAAAACTGAAGCATCATCCTTAAACTTAAATTTCAATATAAGATACTTAAAGTTCACGTTTCAATTTTTTGTCCTTAGTTTCATAACTTCGAGTTTTTAGAACCAAAGTGACCCATAATCCTGGCTCAAAGTTGTGGAACAGATTGACTTCTGTGTTGAAAGAACTATCAGAAGTATTTAGTGGTCAGGTACATCCTGCACGAGAGACAGTTTGGGCACTGACAGACTGAATTTGCTCACTGGTGATAGTGAGAGGAACCCATTTGAAGGAAAGCTGTCACAGAGTGGGGCATTTAGTCTCTAGAATAGCGATCCTGTGGTCACAGTTGGCTCCCCAGGCTAGTGGGAAGATCAGGAAAATGCTGCTGTATGTCCTGACTGTAGAGTGACCAGCTGTCTGGGGTTGTCCTGGACTTGGGGTTCCAAGGATACAGGACTTTCAGTGCGAAACCTGGGCAGTCTGGCACCGGTGGCCACTCTGCCTCCTGTGGATGTTGTGGATTAATCATCTGCTCAACCGAGGCGCCTTTTAGAGTGAATGTGCAAGGACTGGCAACACTTCACTACAGAAACTGAAAACGAGGCAGCTTCACATGAGGAGTGGCAGATAACTGGCCTGAGCTGTGGGTGTTGAAAACCAGGGCACACAACGCCGGAGGGCACTTGTTAGATGGCCCTACCTCTTCTCACCTCTCTGGACTGCCAGCTGACACTCCTGGCCCCAGGCTGAGGCACTTTATCCAAGTTCTCTGTGAATTTCTTCCTTAATGACAAAATAGATTGGATTTTCCAGAGTTGTCTTTTGCCGCCCAATTTTTCCAGTGTGACTTTTATATTTGTGCTTACACATTTTCTTGACTTCTTATGTTCCTGTCTTTCTCTTGTTTGTTGATCCCTTTTCTGTGTATCTCTCAAAGTGAGTTCTTGTTGCCCACCTTCCTTTCTAATTTTTTCATATAACGTTGTAGCTGTTTTTCTTCTGCAATGCTTCTATATTTTTCATTTCATTCTTGGTCATTTCTAGTAGTTCATCTAATAATATTGACAACCTTAAAAGTTAAGGGTTCACTGGGCTCGGTGGCTCAGCCTGTAATCCCACACCTTTGGGAGGCTGAGGTGAGTGGATTACCTGAGCCTGCGGGTTCAAGACCCACCCTGGGCAGCGAGACCTCATCTCTACAATAAATAAAAAAATCAGCCAGGCTAATTCCGGAAGGCTGAGGCGGAAAGATCACTGGAGCCCAGCAGGTCGAGGCTGCGGTGGCCGGGAGCGGCCACTGCACTCCAGTCTGGGCGACAGTGAGACTCCAACTCAAAAAAAAAAAAAAAAAAGTTAAGGGTTCAACTTCAACCAGGAAAGTCTTGGGTAGAGTGGGCAAGGTCCAGGAGTCTGAAGGAAGTAGAAACATGAAACTCTTAGGATAAACTTTAAATGTGCTAAACAGAATGAAGCATTCCTTGAAAGGCAGATTAACAGAAGTAGGACAAGATTTTAGCAGTAGCAGGGATACCTAGCAGTACCTTGTCTGGCCTCTTGACTTAGGATGAAAGGTGGTATTGGCTCTGTTTTACTGCTGAGGTCATTGAGCGAGGTGTGAGCGTGTGAGGGGTGCTTTATAGAAAGTTACAGAGTAACAGATTCAAAAGAGACATGAAAATGACTGAAGAAGGATGGAACTGGCAGCTGGACAGTGACTCAGCATATTTTTAAAAAATATACTTTGGGGATGAGGTTTCATACCAGAGCCCTTGAATTTGAGTTTCTGTATTTCAGCTATATTGAGGAACTTGGCTTTAAGTCCTTTTGTTCAATCTGGAGCATAGGTGAGCTAAGCATCTTCACATACAAGTGCAAGTTGATAATTAGGATTGGCACTGATTTTCATGAATGCCTTAGAAACTTCACTGAAGGAATAACTACACTGTGAAACTCTTCCTATTGGGAACATAGTTCTGTCTAGGAAGATAACTGGTTAATGTCCACTGCTTAGGAGTGAAGATGTTGAGGATTTAATGTGTTTCAATACATCAAATTCCATTCAATTTTCTTTTTCAATGAACTTCTGAAGGCTTTTAGACTGTTAAGAGTGTCTACTAAGTCCATTTTCGTTTTTCCTCATCAAGACTGGGGAGTGAGGGAGGCTGTGTGGAGAGACAGATGCGGGTGTTCAGAAATTCAGGAATTCATGAGGAGTTGGAACCTGGAATTTTCATTTCAGCTCTGCCTGCCTCAGGTGTGCATTTCAAATGACTCCTTTGACCTGTTTCCTAATTTTTTTTCAGGGAGAAAAATGATGAATTTAGGAGCCCCAGTTTAAAGGAATGTGAAAATGAACAAATTCAAGGCACAGTCACTTAAAAAGAACTTGTTGTTGTTTGACTTTCAGGTTCTGGGATCACCTTGGTGCCTGAGGTTACTGGTCCCCATGGATTGGGGACTGACAGGTTTTCCACAGAAATACAAGTCATTCTTTTTTTAGTCTCTTGGAGTCTATTCATCAGGACTTCAGCCTGAGACTCAAGGTCCTGATATCCTGTGCACAAAAAGAGAATACCCTTCAGATTTGGCTGGTGAAATTAGGTTTGTGTAGATTGTGTGTAGTACAGCAGTAATTGTCAAATCCTTTTGCCTCACTGAAATTGCGTGCTTGCCCTTAAAGACTGTAGGAAATTTCAGGGTGCACCTGTCTTCACGAAGACAGGTGCCTTCCAGGCTTTTCTGAGGGATCGGGTCAAACAAGCTGATTTCTCAGACTGCATCTGGGAAGCACGTTACCAGACTTCCTGGATGTGTCAGCACAGGATGGGAATGTGCAGTGCTTTGTCAGTGAAAAGGGGCAGGGATAAATGTAGTGTCCTTAGTCTAGTTAATGTGGGTGTGCAGAGTCAGAGGGGAGAGATCTAGAGGAAAGACAGCGGAATTGTAGTTTACCGTGAGTTTGCAGGAACCAGCACTGAGGAGGGCCTGCCAAAGAGTTGATGAACATGGGGCACCCAGAGCAGGACACAGGAGAGCCATGCTTGCCTCATTTTTGGAACAGGCAAGCTCCATTTCAGGTGCTTAGGAGTCACACATGGCCAGGGGCAACTGTATTTCCATCCTTGCAGAAAGTTCTGCTGGACGGTGCTGCTCAAGGAGTTTTTTAAAAAAATTTAAGCCACTGTTTCTAAGACTCAACCACAGAACTTTCCAGTAGAGGTTGATGAACTTTCCCTGGGGAACAGTTGAATGAGGTTAGTGGTGTCCAGCTGCACATCAGAACAATGGATGAACAAAAGGGGCCCATCCTGTACCTACCAATCAGGAATCTAAGGACACTACATTTATCCCTACCCTTTTTCACTGACAAAGCTTGCTTAAGGCTGCCAGGTCACCTTGATGTAGGTGATCAGAGTGCCTTAGGGAACCCTAGACTGCGTGGCCTCACGATTCTTCAGCAGCTTTTTGTACTCTAGCCATAAGATAGTTACTGCTAGATCCTGGCAGAGATGGGCCCTGTGGGACACAGGTCTCTGTCTCTGGAGTTTTGGCTACCTTTCTAGCTGTAAGCACCATGGCTTTCAGTCTTGGCTGAGTATTTGTTTTGGAAATAATTGAGCCTTTTGCCATTGGGTGAAGGGGCAACCAGATATTTAAGCAGGGTATCACAACCTCTGAATCAGGTAACCATATCAAGATTTTAGAGATGTAAGCTGCAGTTAGTAAAGGAGACTTAACAATGTGGGTGTCTGTGACAACAGGAAGACTTGTGTTTGGTAGAACCATGTTAGGCGAGGAGAAAACAAAGCAGCATGGGGTCAGATTTTCACTGCTTTTTGTTAATGACAGAACAGTGCTTCCCTCTGTACCAGATTTAAAGGAATCACACTATCAAAGCATTTCTGTCCTTTGTTCTTGCAACCATCTCTGCTTTATTGTACAGATACTTAACTTCCATTGTGTTGGAAGTCTTTAGGTTACTTAAAGAAAGTCACTTGGGTTAAAGAGTGTCCCAGCCTTTGGAGCAACCGTTTGCATAGTGTAGTCATTGACTTTTTTTTAAAACATCTTTATTGAGATGTAATTCACATATCATAAAATTCACCCATTTAAAATGCCAGGCTCTTAGCACAGTGGCTCAAGCCTGTAATCCCAGCACTTATAGGAGGCGGAGGTGAGAGGATTGCCTGAACTCAGGGGTTTGAGACCAACCTGAGCAACATAGCGAGACCTCATCTCTACAGTAAATCAAAAAATTAGCCGGGTGTGGTGGCGCATGCCAGTGGTTCCAGCTACCTGGAAGGCTGAGGCAGAAGGATTGCCTGAACCCAGCAGGTCGAGGCTGCAGTGGCCGTGAGCAGCGTGCCACTGCACTACAGCCTGGGTGACAGAGTGAGACTCCTACTCAAAAAAAAAAAATTCAGCTTAGTGTTTTTTATATAATCATGGAGTTTTGTAGTAGTTGCCACAGTCTAAGTTTAGAATGGTTTAATCACTGGTAACATTTTTTAGATGAACTGAAATTTACATAACATAAAATTAACCATTTTAAAGTGAACGATTCAGTTGTATTTAGTGTATTTGCCATGTTGGGTAACCACCAGCTCTTGCTAGTTTCAAAACTGTTTCATCACCCCATGAAAACACTTTGTACCCATTAAGTAATCACTGCCATTTCCTCCTCCCACATAACTGCCCATCAGCAAGAGTGGATAAAGGAGTTGTGGCATATACATAATCAACCAGTAAGAAGAACCTGGAAAATAGCATTCCAGTGAGAGAAGCCAGTCACGCAAGGTCACGTATTGTTGATTCTATTTGTAGGAAATATCCAACATGGGCAATTGCCATGAGCTTTCACAGCATTTTCAAGCCCTGCTCTGAGGCTCTGTGTCTGGGCACCCTCTCCCCTCCCCATGTCGTGGCAGGCAGTACTGCTATTGGGGGCCACAGACACAGTCTGGTCTGGTGCTCAGTCACGCTTTTCCAGTTATTGCAGTGGCCATGAGCAGCCTACTTAGGCCCCTCCCAGTTTCTCTCCTTGTTTGTGAAGCAGAGAGATGTTCATTTTGCCCGGTACCCCACATGAAGTACGTGTGGCACATTCTCATCTTGACAGTGTCTGCCATTCCTCTTTCTGGGACTCTTGCTCCTTGCCCTGCCAGACTCTCAGGTCACGTGAACCAGCTGTAGTGCTGGGCCATAGGGGTTCTGTGGGCCACTCTTGTACCCTGGATGGATGGTTGCATCAGAGAAGGTTATAAGGCCCTGGGGCTTGGAGATGGGACTGGAAGGGAGAGGTTGCCCTGACTTTTCCCTTTCTGGCTGCCTGCCCTCTTCCAGGAGCCTGGGCTCTCTTGCCACTTATTGGGTCTGTGGCATTTTTGTTTGGGTTTGTGGAACCTGGACCACCTTCTTTCCCACTGAGCAAAAGGGATAGAGACTGAAGACTTGGCATTTCACCTGGCCTGAGGTGATGGGCTCCAAACCTCTTATGTGCAAAGAGAAGGAAGTTAGGGACAAAACTCATGTCTGGAAGGTTATTTGTGGGAAGATTGACACATTAGATTTCCCACCAGCAAAGGAAAAATGTCAAAAGAAAAGAGCAGTGATTAGTACAGCCCCCTGAGCCTGTCCTGCTCTGGGGAGGGAGCAGCAGGAGAAACCAGATCCCACCTTCAACACTGCATGGAAGCATCCTCAGCTAAGTGGCCGGTTTCACCAGTCACGGTGCAGCCATGCTTTCTTTTTTTTTTTTGAGTTGGAGTCTCACTCTGTCACCCAGACTGTAGTGCAGTGGCTGCTCCCGGCCACCATAGCCTCGACCTGCTGGACTCCGGTGATCCTTCTGCCCCAGCCTTCCAAGAAGCTGGAACTACATGCACGCGCTACCATGCCCGGCTGATTTTTGATTTATTGTGGAGATGAGGTCTCGCCAAGTTGCGCAGGTGGATCTCGAACCCACGGGGTCAGGCAATTCACTCACCTCAAAGCACGGGATTACAGGCTGAGCTGGTTTCCGCAGGCAAGGTGCAGCCACGCTTTCTACCACTGTGTTCAAGGATCTGCTCCCTCCTGGCTCCTGATCCCTCACCGGCAGTGCTCTTGATGCTGATCTTGCTGCCAGCAGCCTGTTCATGATGAGTTAGGTGTTCTCTAAGATGAGACATTACTTCTACCATGTACCTCTCCTTCCAAGACTTCACTAGTGAGCATTTACCATCCATGTTTCTACTCGCCATCTGTTCAAGAAAGTTGAGGCTTTTTCTGTCCTCAGAATCCTTCCGCCCTTTACCCACAGCCCGATTCCAAAACTGCAGACACACTTTTAGATGTCTCTTACAGCAGCACTACACTTCTGGTTAATTAGAAAACCATATTCATTTTTATGGCTGCTGTCACAAATTACCACACAATCAGTGTCATAAACAACATGAACTTACTATCTCACATTCTGTAGGTCAGAAGTACCCGGGGAGGTTCCCGTGCTGAAGTCAAGGTGTGGCAGGGCTGTTTCTGGGGCTCTGGAGAGGGTGTGCTTCTGGCCACTCGCACTGGTGGCAGAATCCAGCGTCTTCAAGTGTGCTGTTCAGAATGTCTGTGAGGGGCACGGTGAAGGCTGCTCTTTTGTACCCCACCCCGTCTTTCTTTCCCTTGATCTTTTCATTTCCGTCTACCCCAGTAGAAACAGACTGGCTGTCCTTTCTTCTCTACTTTATTCATTTATTAAAATCATGCATGTTCAGAACTGGGTGGGTCATTGATATTGTCCCAGCATCGCCTTCCACACTGGGAACCTGTGAGCTTTTGCAGTAAGGAGACTGGCCTACACTTGCTTGGCCTACACTTGATTGACTGGTTTTTGAGAAGGAGACTGGTGTCCAGGCCTTCTCGTTCCTGTGCTACCTGGAACACTTCAACATGTTTGGGCTGTAGAAGGCTGTCCTCTGAAAAACCAAAACATAGCTAGGTGAGGTGACTCATGCCTGTAATCCCAGCACTTTGGGAGGTGGAGGTGAGAGAATTGAGCCCAAGGGTTTGAGACCAGCTCTTTTCAACAATAAATCAAATAAATCAAAAAATTAGTTGAGCATGGTGACTCATGCCTGTGGTTCGGCTACTTGGAAGGCTGAGGCAGAAGGATTGCCTGAGCCCAGCAGGTCAAGGCTACAGTGGCTGTGAACGTGCCACTGCACTCCAGCCTGGGCAACAGAGTGAGACTCCGACTCAAAAAAAACCCAAAAAACAAGAAACCAAAACACTGTCCTCAGGGCCAGTTTTTATTATGTGCAAGTCTTGATTTTTTTTTCTTGTAGTCAACATTTTAATTTTTTTGATGGAAAACAATTCTCTACCTTAGGAGCTTTATTTGCTTTAAGTTAATGTCAAGTGTTTAGTAAATTTAAATGCAATTTATGTAAGCAAATAATGCTTGTTCTATGCAGTTTATTTAGTAGCAAGAGGCCAAATGAGAAATAATGAATGTGACGATTGATTGAGGTGTTTTAGTCACAACTGGTCATTTGTCCATAAACTTCACCCACGACTTTAGGAGTGAGGACTTAGTTTTGTAGAGTCTGTGTGGATAACCATCAGTATCAGTCGAACTTCTTTCCTTAGGTGGAAGAACTGGGATTTCCTTCTGAATTCTTAAAGGTGGGATCTGCAGACTGATTCGGGAATTGCATGCTTAGGAAGTTGTTCTGCTTCCATCCACATCCTGGGTTTTTGTCTGTCTCCTTGATCCTGAGAGTCTTAGGGACATAGCACTGAGTTGCTGCTTTGAGTCCGTGCATCAGGAAATCGTGGCTTTAGGAAACACCGCTCTTTTCCTTGGGTAAGTGGTATATCTTTTACACCGTTGGAACTCTTTCTCCTATTACCTTTTTTTTTTTTTTTGAATCAGGGTCTTTGTTGCCCAGCTGGAGTTCAGTGGCATGATCACGGCTCACCACAGCCTCAATTTCCTGGGTTCTGGTGATCTTCCCTGTCAGCCTCCCAAAGATCTGGGACTGTAGGCATGTGCGACCACACCTGGCTGATTTTTTGACTTTTTTAGAGATGAGGTCTCTTTATGTTGGCCCAGACTGGTCTTGAACTCCTAGGCTCAAGCGACCCTACTGCCTTGGCCTCCCAGAGAGGTGAGATTACAGGTGTGAGCCATCATGCCTGGCTGACCCATTACTTTTTGTGTTCATCAGTTCTCTGGTTTGCTTTTAAAAAACTCATGCTAGAGGATTCACGATCTGGAAAATAGCTCATTAGGACTTGGTGAAGGCTGTTCCCTCTCCCTTGTCTTTCTTTCCCTTGGTCTTTCATTCCAGCCTACCACAGTAGAAACAGATAGATGTCTTTTCTTCTCTGCTTTATTTATTTATTAAAATCATACATCCAATACAGGGGAAGATGGAAGATAAAAAAAAAAAGAACACAGTCATGTTTGCCAACCCTTGTAAGCAGTGCTAAAGTACAGTCACAGGCCAGAGGCCAGCTGCCTTGCCATGGGAAAACTGGGTGAGAGGCCTGCTCTGTGAAGGGCTCTGGGACAACCAGGCCGTCACTGTTGAGGCTCAGCTGACTCCTTTCTGTGTTTCTGACAGCTCCTTTAGCGGCAGGGTCTTCCGAGTGACCTTCTGGATGCTGGCCGTTTCCCTCGCCGTCCCCCTGCTTGGAGCCATGATGCTGCTGGACTCTCCTATAGACCCACAGCCTCTCAGGTGAGCTGCGCAGTCCTGGGGCATTGCTCAGCGAATCCAGGCCTCAGTGATTTCTAGGGTCTGAATGGTCAGTTGTGAGAAGCAGAGCTTGCGATTTTTTTCAGGACCTGAATGTCTATGTTGGGTAGATATTTCTCAGAATACATGTATGGGGGTGTCCTTGTCATTATTTTATTTATTTATTTATTTATTTATTTATTTATTTTTGAGTTGGAGTCTCACTCTGTCGCCCAGACTGGAGTGCAGTGGCCGCTCCTGGCCACCGCAGCCTCGACCTGCTGGGCTCTGGCAATCCTTCCGCCTCAGCCTTCCAAGTAGCCGGAATTACAGGCATGCGCTACCATGTCCGGCTGATTTTTTGATTTACTGTAGAGATGAGGTCTCGCCAAGTTGCCA